AATATACTTTTATTATAATTGTAAATATATCTGTATATTTAATAAAATGTTTTCAGGCCAAAGAGATTATCTTAACATCAAAAAAAAAAAAAAAAACTTGAATACAACTGTATAAGCAATAATAATATAATTAATACATAACTTTTTAAACTAATCTTTAATAAATACTAGAGAAATAAAATATTTTAAACTTATACAAAAATTTAAATACAAAACTGCAATATTTTAAGATACTTAGTTTTAGAAATAATTACTCTTACTTGTCTCAACCACTATGTAGAGGTGTATGTCATCAGTTGAGAAGGTAAACCCAACCCATCTCTCTTTCACCAGTACTAGTTATGGCTTATTTCCTGGCTTCTGAGCAGGTTGTTTTCTTGAATTATAAATACCAAAGTATTTCATCAAGTAACTTTTGCTCCAGTCATTATCTTAGAGCTTGAGAAAAACCATACTGTTCATGTACTCCAAATAAAAAACAACAACTATTGAATATATAAAAAAATGAAAAAAGTTAGAGTTAAAAAAAAAAAAAAAAAAGAGGTATGCAAAAAATAAAAGAAAAAAGTGATCCTTATATGTCTTTTTATCAACGTGTTTATTCTGAAAACATGACTTTTGAACGTGTAGTCAAGTAAAAACCTGTTTCAAACCAGTCTGAGTTTTTTTTGATGTGGTGATATAATTGGCATGTTTTTTTTTATCGGTTATGTTACTGTAATCAGTAACTGTTAATAATAGATTGCTAATAAAATTTTTTTATAAGCACTAAATATATATATATATTATGACTAGTGATAATTGTTAAAACTAAATGTCTAGTTCAATACCACCACCACCACCACCCCTTTACCCAAAGAGTCTCCACTTTTTCAGGAATCAACAAAACCAAATAACACTACTGACCAGCCTAGTGTTGTTTTTTTTCGACATACAAACACCTCAGAAATTGACTGCATTTGTGTGTTTTTTTTTTTGAATGAACTTTATTTTTCAATTGGTCATTTCTATTATTTATATTAACAATAGTTTGAGACTATGCTCCGACAATTGGTATTTATAAAGAGAACGTGTATAATTAGCTATCCTAGTATTGTCATCAATGATAAATTTTAATTAAGCACCTGAAATAAAAAACATCTTCGACCGTGTCTCTAATATTATTTCATGATATATTTTCCATATTAGAATCTTCAAAATTAAAATATTACGAATTACTTTACCTATACAGTATATCGATATGTTCATATGATAAAAAAATTTCAATAGTTTTTATAGAGTAATTATTATGTCACTAACACTTCAAACAAAAAGATGTTCGATATCATTTTCCTATGAAGTGAAGATTTGATATCTTAATATATTGTCGCATAATTATCTATCACGTTAACTACATTTTTTATATCTGACATTAGAATTGCTCTTTATCATTATCGTGTTTCTGAGCTTTAATTATGATGTAGGTTACTTTTTTTTTTTTATGGGCGATATTAGGACTGTTTGTAGTTTGGTTTTTGATAATTGCTAATATTTATCGTTATTGGATATTAAATAAGCAAACAAAATTTGATGATTTATCCACACAATTAGTCAATAAAAGTATGAACTTTAATTTTAAAATATCGTTATTTATGCTAGTTAAGGTATACTGACTTATACGTATTATGTCACAAGTGGAAGATATGGATTCACGAATAGATGTGCTTCAAAAATCTCTTGAAACTTTAATGCAACAGGCTGATACCAATAATCTTATAGTTGAAGATGTGAAGAAATAATCCTTATACATATTACGTGCTTAGAATTGTCTAAACCTTTTTATCTTTTTTTCAAACTCTTGATAGCAATTGCACCAATAAGTGAATAATATAATGCTTCTTATGATAAAAATATCCGTCACCTTTCTATAATGCCTCACAATCTCAATCGCAATCGCTATTAAGTTTGCATGTGATTCAATATTTTCTAATTTT